CATAGCGGCAGCGCATGTGGTCTCAACAATTCTCTTTGTATCATATCGATTCTTCTAATCATTTTCAATGTCATCGATATTGTCATTGTTATTGGATTTCGCTTGCGCTATTCGTCATTGTTAGAAGAACAAGAAAAATTGAGACGATCTCGAGTAGCAAATATTCTACGTGGCTGGTTTATTCTTTTCAAATTTATAGCCATTTGCATTGGTACCTCCTATGTCTTTACACCGATTAAGCTGACAAATACTAACTGTGAATTCGTTCGCTTTTGTCTTGGTGTTGTATGCTTTAGTACATGGATACTTCCTTTTATTGAAATACCCCAGCCTGCATTACCCGTACGACGACCATTATTTACGGAATGCTTCTTTCCTCTTTTGTTGATTGTTATTAATAGTCTTTATTTTGGTACTGTAGTATCTGCCATGATTAAAGTCCAGGATCTAAAGTGTATATTTACCAACATGAAAGATTTCTACTTCCATGCTCCACTCAAATCATTTGCTTGTGTTGGACTTATTTTAGCTGGTTGTTCATTATGTATGATCGTATTCAATTGCATGTTCAGTCAACTCTTTTTCCGTTTGACTCGCTGGCGTGCATTCATCTTCCGTTGTTTAACTCTTTTCTATGCATTATGCTGTTTTATAAATCTCGCTGTTCTCTATTATAATTCTGTTGGCGCTATACTTCTCTTTAAACCTCGTTCAGGTGGATCTTGCCGTTCGGTGGCACCCAATTTATATAAAACTCTGTTGATATGGCAATGGATTCGCACTGTTGGACCACTTATTGCAATACCGTTGGTGTGTGTTTTCTGTTGTATTGGTTTTTGTGTAGGATCTCTTCTTGCAGCATGTTTGCCTGCCTCTATTTCCGTTCCACTACTTGAAACTCTTAGAGTATGCAATATTTTAATATTTTGCATTTGATTATTTTTCGCTCTGATTAGGAAAGGTTGCCGACCACTCCTGTTTCTATCGCTCCCAATCCTCCGGCAAGACAGGAGAGCATCAACGCTTTGCCAATGGTCACCTTTGGTGAAGAATCTAATCAATTTGATCAGACTGAATGGTTAGAGACGATACACAGAAGAAATTTGATCATTTTTATTCACCTTTTTCTTCTAGTACCATTTGTCGAATAGATTTTCAACCGAATGAACAAGTAAGACGACTTCAATGTAATCATTTGTTCCATCCTGGTTGTGTAGCCAATTGGTTGTTGATCACACGCATATGTCCCGTATGTCGTCAGCGCATGACAACGGTAGAAATATAGGATCGAAATAACTTTTACTTGCGCCCAAACAGTGATTGTTCTTACTTCAAACTAAAGATTGATTCTTTTTTGTCGATTGAGTGTGCGTATTCGATGAAATAATCTGACAAATTTCTTTTTTTTATTATCAATAAATATGATGTCATGATTAATCAAAACTTTGAGCCTTTTCTAGCCGATCTCTCAATCGTTTTTAGGAGAGGATTTCTTCTAGAATCGAACAAGGCCATAAGATGACAAAGTTTTATTTCTTTTTAAACTCACCATCCAATAGACTCTCTTGGACATAAACGATCTAATGAGGGTGTGGGTGGATTTGAGTGGATGTTGATGAGGATGCGACGATATCGGTATGTGGTAGGTGAACTTCTACATCCACATCGATACCCACACCCTACGTTAAGAAAAACGAAAAGGTGTGTTTCTATTGGTTTTTAGCAAAGGTTATCATCTTTTTATGCCAAATATTTTGTGTTTGAATTGGAATTTCCTTATTGAATAAACATACTTGCTAATAATGTCTAAGTAAGGAACTGAGTAAAGAAAATGACGCCACTTTACGAGTTATTTAATAAACTTCATTGGAAGTTTCAAACATCCAGTGTTTCCTGTAATGTCAAGTTGTATGTTGCAAGCAATCTGTGATTGTCTCATTCTTGCACTAGAATCTTTTAATTTTCTCTTTTGAATGCTTTTTGCACGGTTTATTTGCTTATCGCACAGATCAATTGAAGTCTTTTACTAGTCGATCACAATAAAGTGCGATAGATTTTCTTTTTCATTGAAAAATCATTTCGCTGAATAAGATCATTGCTTTTTTTTTGTTAAAGATCTAGAAATATCAAAGTCAAAATGTTAATGAACATTGAACTGTCACAATTATTTTTGAAAATATATGAACAGAAAAATACTAAATTCAATTATGTGTGTTCATTTAAATACTATTCTCATATACTTAATTTTCTTAATAAAATAAAATTCCTTTTTTTACAAATTGAATATGTCGCTGAACATCTAGACTGATGCAAGAAAGATATTATTCAATAAGATCGACTTCTGGCTGAGAGAAAAATAAAGAAATATTGCTGTTCACATATTTACACGTTGTTGTTATTTCTTTTTTCTCGTTCTTTCTTGATAGAAGGAATCAAATAATATTGGTAAAGAGCATTTGAAATTACGAAATTCTTCTTGACCAATGACGCAATGAATCAAAGAATCGAAAAAAATAAAAAAAAAAGCATTACCGGCACTGGGACTTGAACCCAAACTGAGAGATTGAAGGTCTCTTATCCTACCGTTAGACTATATCGGTATATCTTAGTCTCAAATGGCAGATGTTCGAATTATGCCATATTAACTTATCATTGACTTTTCTATTTTGTTATTTAAAACTAAAAAGTCTATTGTGTAGATCAGTTCTCATTAATCTGTTTATATTCATAAAAATAAATCATAGAACTAAGATTGTAGTTGGGGAATATGAGGAGCGGCTGTGATGAGTGTGGGTGCAGGAGGGATTGTGAATATAGGTGATTGGAAGACAATATCCAAGCCCTATACCAACATTTTAACATTAAATTCGATAGGTCACTATTGAGATTAAGAGATTTTGGGTAATCCACAAAGTACCACAATTTTGCTCAGATACCTCGAATACAACTTCATCTTTCTAAGACATTTTTCTCTTTAAAATTGAAGTAAACATTTCTTTTCTCATCTTATATATTTGATAGAGCTTGTCATAATCTACACAACTATGTTTTTCGAAAGTCAAAAAAGTTTGACCACATACAAAATATTAAAGCATACTACCCACGGAAAAAATTTTCAACAAAAACCGCTAAAAACCGCGGTCAAATTGACCACGGTTTTCACCGGTTTCGAAAACCGCGAAAGTCAGACCTTTTATGCGGTATTTTGAAACCGCTAAAAACCGCGGTGTAAGTGACCGCGGTTTTTAGCGGTTTCAAAGTACCGCATAAAAGGTCTGACTTTCGCGGTTTCTGAAACCGGAGAAAACCGCGGTTTTTAGCGGTTTCAAAGTACCGCATAAAAGGTCTGACTTTCGCGGTTTCTGAAAATCGGAGAAAACCGCGGTTTTTAGCGGTTTCAAAGTACCTCATAAAAGGTCTGACTTTCGCGGTTTTTGAAAACGGTGAAAAATGCGATTTCTTCAAACCGCAGTACATCACGGTTTTCAAAACCGTTGAAAACCGCGGTTTCTGTAAAAATATCTGAACCAGAAAAAATGGTTCAGGATGACTCCACTCACCTGAACTTGTCTCAAATCCAGGTGAGTTACCCTTCAAGGGGCGTTGTAGTGAACTTTTTCAAGTTCCATTCACGCAAAGTTTGTTTGCGATTAGAGACAGAATAAAAAAATATTCTTTAAAATTTCAGAAAATAGTGGGGCACGACATCCTTACTGTCCTTACACATTCCCGGATGTTTTAATATACACCACAAATGCCGCGGTTCTCAGTAGACACACCGCAGTATTTAATACCGAGGATAATAGCGGGCATACCGCGGTTTCTGAAACCGGTAGATACCGCGATACCCAATACCGCGGTTTTTGATAAGCATACCGCGGTTTAGAAACTGTTCTTATTTCATCATTTTTGTAAATGCTAAAGCGTTTCTAAAAATTTTTAGTTGTTTTATCTTCAATGAGCAGCTTCATATATTATTTTGAGTTCATCGTTTTTCAATGGATTACTGATCATTTACTTATACGTTTGGGTTCGGTTGTCAATGTCCCATACAAGGATACGCAAAACCTGATTACGAAAGACAAAATGTAAAAATATAATTTCTACCATATTCTGACAGCGTAGTTCCTTTGTGCCATTATATTCAAACGTTTCTAAGTATTGTAAAAATCTGAAACTTATGATGGCATTAGAGTATTATATTGAATATTGCTGTATCATACTGTATAGATCATATATTCGTATGATTGTGTTTTGAAACGAATCAACGACATCTATATTATATAGTAAAATTTTAANCCCACCCCACACCCCACCCCCACCCCCACCCCCCCACCCACCCCCACCCCCACACCCACACCCACACCCACACCCACACCCACACCCACACCCACACCCCACACCCACACCCACACCCTAATTTTGCAGAAAATAATGATGAAAAATGAAGAAAACAATGAAAAAATACTATAGTCTCTAAAAAAACAGAAAATTGAATACTGAATATTTAAAAAGGGTTAACATATTTACAAGCTCCACAAAGTGTTTTCTACAAGTATATCTGAAGAAATCTTGTCTGAAACTCTATTAAACATTCTTCTAGTGTAATCGCAGAAAAGTGTTGTGGATTTTGCGAATGTCTTAATCTTTTTTCAATTAAGTATTCAATCTTTTTTAGAGACTAGTATTTTCTCATTATGTTTCTTCACTTTTCATCAATACTTTTTATAAAATTAATTGGTAATCACAAATAGATTGTACTATAAAATGTTGCAACATTTTCTCCGCGATGCTTGGCCCTTCAATGAAAAGTCCGATCACCCAACAAACATGATAAATCCGTCAAAAATAATCCATTTGTCGGTGAATCAAACAATTTTTGCCTTTTCATTGTGCGGTGTTATTCTTTTTTCAGTTCGTTGAACGAATTTTTTTATAACTCATGCAAAAAATGTTTGAAACATACAATTGTTTCATTTTTTTTATAGTAAAAAAAAAGCTTATTGAATTTCAATTACAGCTACTTTTGTTAAAGTAACAGGTGGTAGTTTTTGTTGTTGATAAGTTTGTTTAATGACCAAAATAAAATATCCAATTAAAGCTATTGTTAAATAAATAATTTGAAGAATAATTGATGTTCGAGCACGAAGTGATCCAGCATATAAATAAACAACAATATGACCTGTATTCTGACCTAGCAACATACTTGAAAAAGCTGCTTCCTCTTCCTCAGGAAACATAGTTTCATATAAAGCTAAAATTAATTTCCACAGTCCAATCAAATAACAATCAAAAAATACTTTACCTGATACAACTGGATCCCATATGGCACTTGCTAGTCCTTGTAGAATAGCTAAAATATATAGAACATACATTTGAGCCGAATATGGTTTCCATAAAAGCATTGTAATTAATGATCCATAACACACAATAGAAGCAATTACAAATATCAATGAACGACGTTGAAATTTTCCCGCATAACCAACAATAATACTGAATATAGAAGCGGCAATACCATATACCATCATAACCAAACCTGATGAAAAGAAATATTAATTTAAAATTTGTTTGTCTTCAGATAATAAAAAATAAGTACAAATAACATCCTGAACCGAAAAATACTAATAATCAATTTTACTGTGGAAGTTCTGAAAAATCTACTAAAATAAGCGAAGTAAGGCGTTCAAGATAATAAATATGCGGATATTCCAATGGAGGAAAAACCTCAAATACATTAAATACAGTATATGCGAAAAATAGGAAGATGATATACATAGGCGGCGGAGCGATTTCAGTCTAGGGTAGGCTCAACTTTTTTTGCTAAACCAGCGCACCCATGTAAGGCAACATGAGTTGAAATCCGATAAGACTTGATTATATTCATAAGATTTTGATTGATTTTTAATCAGTTTTTAGCTGAATTTAATTGAAAATAACCGAAAAAAATCAAAATCTCGTTCATTATTACGATTACTTCGGATTTTAATTGATATTTCATTATAATAAATGAAATAGTTTTCATCCGATTTTCATCGGTTTACATAATTTAGACGCGAGTTATTTTATGAAGTTTTAATCGAGTATAATCGGGCATAATCGTACAATCCATGAAATTTTGATTTTTTTCGATTATTTTTCATTAAAATCGTTTAAAAAATGATTAAAAATGAATTAAAATTGCATGATTAGGATAAATTTTTAATTCATTTTCAATCTGATTTAAGCTGTCATTTTTTTGTACATGAATGCGAACAGGTTGAAAAGAGGTTTTCTTCATTTGTTTAGAATGGTGAACATTATAGATTTTCTTGTTAGATTTTAATTCTTTACCAGCGTGATAACTATCTAATGCGTTATTGTTTCCCAACACAACAGGAATTAATGAAGTAACAGAGAAAGATAATTTTAAAAAGCAATAGAGAAACAGTCTGGAATAAAATAAAACTATTCAGTATCAAAAAATCGTTTTCCAATTTTGATTCTTTAAAAGAAATTCACAATAGATGCTTGATCAAGCTAATAGGGAGGGTTTTGTTGGTTCTAACGACGAGACAAATGTGCATAATTCTGGTTCACTTTTAGTATCATTTGAATTATTCGATTCGATTTCAACAGGAGATAGATTTTCATCAAAACTATTCTTGGACTTCCTTTTCTATTTTGAAAGAAAGATATATTCTGAGGTTGTTTAGCTGTTACCGGTGTACGAAAGGAGTAATTTTATTCAATTATCTAAACTCAGACACTATTGTAATTAGAAGCTCGCAAAACAATTCAACTATCTATTATAGAGAACCAAGAATTCGATATCAATAGAGATGGTAACGGAATCCATGTAATATCACGTTTAGCAGGAGTTAGCAGTAGCAAAAATATGGACTGAACCTTTAAAAAGACGTCATCTGTGAAAAGAATATGAAAAGTAAACGATAACAGAACATTATTATACTTAATCGAGCCTACTCAAGCCTTGTTGTGTCCTATTTTAAGCCTAATCAAGCCTACTGGCTCCGCCGCCTATGATGATATAGTTTTTTATGTAAAAATTGATCGATCTTCTTTTTTGTGAAAATTGATCCGGTGCCTTCTATTTATGGGTGCAACAAATCCTTATTTTCTGCATAAAGATTGTAAATTTTCTAGGTGAAAACCAACCAAATTCAACCAAATCTTTGTGTCAGTTATAAACAGTTTTATTTGCTCTATTTGATACTGATACCATATCTACCAAATCCTACCAAATCTTTGGCAGGATTTGGTAGATATGGTATCAGTATCAAATAGAGCAAATAAAACTGTTTATAACTGACACAAAGATTTGGTTGAATTTGGTTGGTTTTCACCTAGAAAATTTATAATCTTTATGCAAAAAATAAGGATTTGTTGTACCCCGACTTCTATTAGTTTTCAGGAAACCCATTTATTTTTTAACAATACTCTGAAGACAACCATAATTGACGTAATGGCCATAATCCGCATAATGAAGAAATCTGGCCACCTTCCTATAATCGGAACGCGTAAGCGGTGCTTTCCGTGTGTGCTTCCATCCGCATCGTCAGTTGGGTGATGCTCCCTGTATGTGTGTTTCCGCCCTCATCCTCAGTAAGAGAGACACCCTCGGTGTGTGTTTTCTCCCTCACCCACAATGATAGAGATGCTCTGTGTGTACTTTCACCTTCACCAAAATTTCAATTCCCCAAGCTCTGTTGGTTTATGAAAACTCGTGTGATTTCCGGAAACTAAATGAGTTCCCGGAAAGGCATTCGGTTTTTTGAAACTTATTTGGTTTCCGGAAAGTCATGTGGTTTCCTGGAAACTCATATAGAGCATCATATGGCCCATTATGGCCGCTATGCCTGTCTTCCGAATATTGTTGACAAAAAACGAGTTTCTTAGAAACTAATGGAAGGCACCGAATCCTTGTAGCCTTACCCTCTTATACCCTTGTAGCCTTGTACTGTTGTAGCTTTACCCCCTTATAGCCTTTTGACCTTTGATCTGTAATCTTTAATCCGGCACAGACAGACAGATAGACACACAGACACTAAACCTTATGTATATATATACAGATAACGAGCAGTTCTAATGGCTTGAAATTACAATTTGACTTCGAAAGAGAGGAGATGTCGTTAACACTTATGTGAACTGACCTACGTAGTAAATACCAACGGAGCATGTAATGAAGCCCTGAAACATGAGAAAATATGAGTATTTTCATGTAGATAATATATGTGTATTACAGTGATGAATATTGACCACATAAAGGCTTCGGAAACGCCAATCCAAAAAGCTAATGGAAGTAGTAATATCTGTTTCGGTTTTTTCAATTGTTTCAGTGTCGATGTTGTATATTTGAAAGAATCACTTATAAAACTTTTAGATTCTGAATCTAAAGAAATGAACTAATTAAATGACTAGACATTTTCAAAATCAGTTACGTTTTAAATGTCGTTTTTGATCAAGAAATAAAGCCACAAGAAAGAGTGAAATAACAATTAAACCTACGAATATTCCATACAGTATCGAAGCCTAAATATCTAAAATAGTTAAACAACTTTCAAACATTCACTTTTGATTCTTTACTGTATTAAGGGATATTTTATTGCTATCATTGTTTAATGACTGTTCTTCACTTTCCAAATAGTTTGCGCCACATAGATTAATATCTTTTTGTATAGAATCATTTCTACCATTTCGTAAAACAAGATATGTAATTAAATCTCCCCAAACTTCACCTTTAGTCAAAGAAAAATTTATATGAGTATTCGAACAACAGATGACTTTACTGGTTTGAAATGTTGCATAGAAAATACCAAAATATTTATTTTCCTTTGCTTCTTCCTCTCCAATTTTATCCGTTTTGCCTAAATCAGCAATATAAGCACTTTGAGCGGTCCAGAATGCAGCTTGAAAAATACCACAAAAAACCGATGCTAATAGATAAAATAAAATAAATTTATAAAAAATATATAGTTATTATCATTTACTTGGATACATAAGCCATACTTTTGGATAAATATTTGCAGCAATGAAAAGAAGAAAACCAATTTGTGCAATGAAAATTGTCCATTTATAACCAGCTAAGAAAATAATTGGATTTGTTAAAAAGAGACACGAGAAAGCCGAACATCCAGAAATGATTGCTAAGGAATAAAGACCAGCATTTCCATCAGTATTAGCACTGGATTGTAAATTAGTCACAGCATTATAAGAAGTGAAAATAAGAATAAAAGTTATGGAGATAACAAAAAAATTCTTCTTTGTTGATTTTCCACCATTTGGTTTGTTATCAATTGTATTGGAATCTTCGATCGTCATATAGGTTTCGCTTTCACAAGTATAATATATAACACGCGATGTGAAATAAATTGGATTATACAATAGAGTAGAAAAAATGACAGTTGCTCGCTCATCCTCTCACCTTTTATGACTATGAATCACTCTTACTATTCTATTGCTGTTGCGTGCTGTCTATGTGAGAAAGAATCTGTATGTTTATTTTTTTACGTGATATAAAGAAAAAAAAGTGAAGCACTCCAGAGATACAGTGGATTGTACCCGTGCCCGTCCAATATAAAAATTATTTACCCGTATCCTATCCAGGTGTGTTAATTTGTCTTTACCTTTTCTTTAAGATCAAGATAATTAGGGACGTAACTATACCAATACAGTATTGGGGTTTTAGTATTGGTTGGTATTGGTACTAGGTGGTATTAGTATTGGTATTGGTAATGGTATTAATATTGTTACAGTCCTAAAGATAAGGTTACATCTTTATAAATAAAAATAATCTAATAAGATGATATTGTGGCATACATTATAAAACAAGAATTCCATCGTACTATCTTGTTATTTAACATATTTTCTAAATTACCTCTTTCATTTCATGTTTTCAAATTGACAACGGTTCATATGGTAATATGTATCTAATTGACACTTTTCGTTTGTTAATGAGAATCATTAATTTTATCCATTTACATAGAAATTACTTTAGACTTATTAGTTATGATTTCATTAATGAACAAAAAATATTTTCTTCAGCAAAAATTCTAAATATACTATTTATTTTCTTCATAAATAATAAAATATATCAAACGGTCGAAAAAAATTTTCTAAAAGTCTAATATGTAAGACTGGTATCCTTAGAAAGAGCGCAAAAAACTAAGTATTACGCTAAAATATGAACGCGGAGTTTGGTGTAGTCTCAAGCAATTTTTTTTAAAATACAATTGCCTGCAAGAGAAAATTTTTTGTCTTCGTTTGTTTTTTTTCTTTCGCTCTTTCATCCTCGATCATGTACATACATATACGCTTATGACAGAACGAAAGAAAAAATTTCTCTGCATATGCAGACAGAAGCAGACAACATTCTTCTCGATGATAATTCTGATTGAAAAATTATTTAAATATTAAATTAAATAATAAATATTGTATTAATTCTGAGAAGGAGAAAAGTTTTTAAATTCAACACTTTATTAGGCAATAAAAAACTTTTCTATTATCAGAATTATTTTTTTAATTATTTTTTAAATTCAAAAATCGTCTTTTTTAAAAGTCAATCAGTGTAGGATATTCAGTTGAATTATGTATATGATTTCGTTTATCTATGTTGAACTAATCATTTATTTAATTTCTCTATGCATCTGATTTAGCCAGAGAACTATCTGATCATATTAGCGAATAAACGAAACAAACTCTATTACTTATGACTTTTTAAGATTTTTTCCTTGCTATATAAAGATGGGATATTCATAATCATTATGATGAGCTAATCGTCTTCTCTAAAATATGGAGAAGCTACAGCTTATCATAAGAAAATAAATTTTGACGTAATTTATATAGAAAAAAAGAAAACGAAACACCAGAAAAAAAAAGAAAAAAGTAAATGACTTCGCACAGGATTCGAACCTGCACCGCGTTATCTACGCTGTTAGCCACTCGGTCACATGCAAATTGCGGGTGTGGGTGTGGGGTGTGGGTGTGGGTGTGGGTGTGGGGTGTGGGTGTGGGTGTGGGTGTGGGTGTGGGTGTGAGT